CTGCGTGGTGCTTAGTTGCTGGCTAGGGCTAAACCATGACATGTTCCTTCTTGCATATCAAACAGTGAAATACATTCAAGATGTGAATCACTCCACCAGAACATGAAGATGTTCCTTGGCCTATTTGAATCCACTTCAGTAAGTCTTCCTTAACTCTAGGTGAGATTTTACACCCAGTTCTTTCTATCAGGTACTTATTTGTTTCCTCATTTAACAAGCCAAACAGGAATCTTACCACTAATATCCAATTTGTATCGTACTCACTATATTTTTCTAACACTTTCTTTATATCCTTCCCTAGTGTCCCCAATTCTCCTGTTTCCTCATTGTCCTCCAGTGCATAGAACAATGCTGCAAAAACCTCTCTAAAGCTCAGGTGAAGGAAGCTGTAAACACTCACACACTTCATAGTTTCTTAGAGCACTCTCATTCAGTAAAAGGGAGAGGACTGGGTGATGTAAGCCATACACCTCAATCTCCTTTTCAAGAAACAGGGTCTTCCACTTCCAGATTCCATCAGCAGCCATGCAGCAAAATCTGCTCAGGAACTTCTTCATATCCTGTTTCAGATCATCACTCCCACACTTGAATAAGTTGGAAAGGTACAGCATGTACAGCTCTGTGGTTGTTTTAGAAGTCTGGACAAGACCTTTCCCTTCATTAAGTTCTTGTTCAAGGGCAGTACAGATGGTCCAACACATGATGGGTACAAGGCACATGGCAAAGAAAGTGTCATTTCTTTTGGCAAAGGTAATGGCTTTTATTGATTTTTCTTCATCCCTGAAGAACTTGTGGAAATATTCCTCCTTCTTAGCATCTGAAAAGCCCATTATTTCTGCATAATCTCCTCCTTTTAACACTGCCCCAGTCTTTGAAGAGCTGTTGGTCCTGTAGTGATGAGCAAGGAGGACTGAGAGAGGACAGTTTTCTGAAATAAACTTCCCAGAATGATTTTGACTGGCTTCCTTTCACCACAGTCAGTACACAGTTTTGTTTTTTTTTTTTTTTTGGCTGATCCAAGGAAAACCTCAATTGATCAAAGCCATCAGTGATGAACAGGGTTTTTTTGGGACTAGCCAGGATTGCTTCAGGTCGTGCCTTTCCACAAGGACAACAAGCTGAGATCAGATCCACCAGACTCAGCATATCTGCCTGCTGGGAAAAGTTGATTTCTCTACAGTTTATGTAGAAAGCACAGTAAAATTGTGCATAAATGGCTCCTCTTGCCCAGTCTAGTATGATCTTTCTTGCTGTCGCTGTCTTTTCAATCCCTGCACCACCCAGCAGCACAATGATCTGTGGCATTTGACCTCTTTCATCAGGCTGAAAAAGTGTTTCCACAGTAACTGCAAGGTGAGCATCTTCCCTTCTGACTTCTGCATATCTTTCTCTTAGACCCAGGTCTTCATGTTCTTGTTCACTTCTCCCCAGAGGGTTCGCAACCATCATCAGCTTCGTATATTTGCTGCTTAGAGTCACATTCTCGCCTAGACAAGCATTCACCTCTAAATGTAAGGAACTCTCTTGCTACATTGTCTCTGCACTTCTGCCTGTAATCTAAACCACTAAGAAACATAAGTACACGTCCCTAGTAAATGCAGATTTCCCATTATTTCCTTGTTATTAAAACTACTCCAACAACGCAGTACCACTACACTGCACTTGTTTTACATGACTTCCAAAGACCTTAACAATGGCTCATGCTGAACACTGCTCTGAACAGCCATCTCTATGCTCTACTTAAGGAAGGTGGGGGGGTGTGACCAGCTCCTCTTTACACCTCTCCATTAGGTGCAGTCAGGTTGGGAGGATGGGACCCATTGAGGAAGAATGCTTTCATGGGAAAGATGGCTGAGGATTTAGTTGGAATAGAGTTGCTAAGCATACTCCTCTTTTTATAAAGCATTGTGGCATCTCTACTAAGGAAGGGGGCTTCCAGTTTCATTTCTCAAATGGAAGATGAATGATTAACAGTGCTCTGACCAATCTCCACTGGAATAAACGAGTAATAATGAAAGTTGCTTAGCTATCGCCCATCAAATTACCTCTCTTCTCTCAAACTCTGCAAGGGAAGGATAATCTGAAGTGTCCTTTGCATGTGGACAGATGATTGTGCGCTGTTGTCTCCTGGCTGAGACACCAGTACATAGAATAATGGTTTCTGCTGAAGTGGCAATTCCCTTTACCTAATGTTCCAGGACCCAGATCTGAAACGGGAATTGAACGTGTGTATTAGCATTGTCATACAGCAGCGTCCTATGGACAATATTCAGGGGCAGTGGATTCCTCCTGGGCCCAGTCCTTGCCTAAGCTTGCCTAAAATCCCAAAGGACACTGCAAAGTCAGTGATTTGCTACTGACATTGGCACATCAGCACTGTGTGCTCCCCACCCCCTGAATATCCAGGCAGATCCCAGAGTTCTTTCAACCTGCCAATATTTCTCTCCAAGAAACATCAGGCCTGACACCTCTGCTCCTTGTTGCCTTTCCTGGAGGTCTCAGCTGAGACTTGCTCTAAGAGCTTTCTTAGTTCCATGAGCAACTTTCTGCCCTTGCTGGCTCAGCATGAAGGACTCCACACTGGCTCATTCAACAGGGCTTTGTAACAGGTGCCTATGCAGGTACACCTGTGTGCTGGACACACAGCAGGTACCCAAACTGCTCTGTGACTGAAGGTCTGGGAAAGGATCTGGCTTCTGAGTCTCACACAGCATGCCAGGCTGGCAGACACAATAGAATCAAAAGGAAGGACAGTAGAAGGGACACTCTGCAGTCATTTATGGAAAGGGACAGGAAAAAACATTGAGCTAAAATTCTTCCTCTTCCATTGCTTAGGTCCTCCCTCCATGCCTTGGGCTGGGATTAGCCCCTAGACCTTCATTCTCCCTACCCAAATTCTCTAGTTAAAACCAAGAGCACCAAATTCTGGTGTTTCAAAGAAAAGCAAAAGCCTGAAAACATACTGTGTTTTCTTCCTACCTCACTCAGAACACAAAGGCCAGGGAACTTCTATTTGTCTCTTCCACAAGACTGGGCTACTGAGACAAACAGGATTCAAGCACCGCATCTTCTTGTAAGCCGTTCATCTGAGACACCCCATGAGGAGGTCCCACAGGCTTTAGGCCATAAAGGCTATAAAGACCAAAAGCAGGAACTCTGTTCCCTGTCTCTCTTGAAACTATATCAGGATACACACCTGTGCTGAGCACAATAGTCTAGGATCCCCTGCAGCCTCTCTTTCCTCTCTGCTCATGGGGCCAAAGGCATCATCCCTGGGCTCCTCCAGACTCCTGAACCACAGGGTCCCAGGCAGGTACCACCAGAGCCTCCTTGGACACAACCAAAGGGAAAGCACATGGGTTCATGCTCTAACACTTACCGTCCACCCCATATCCCAGTACTCTCCGACAGACAAGGGAGAAGGGAGCAGACACCCACTGCACTGCCCTCACATCAGGAGGGAACCCCTTTCCTACTGAGGAACTCCAGCTCCCACACCTTCCTGGAGCAGGACAAGAGCCTGGGCTGTGGGCCACAACCAGCCCCATCTGGTCAAGAAGTTCTCCTGCTCTTGAGGACTGTGGGTCAGGCATGGGAGACCCCAAGGGGAAAGAGAAGAATCAGAACAGCAGTTCCTGAAAGGGGCATGTAGAGCAGCAGCAGGAAGGAGTCCCTGCACTTCCTCTCCCTAGGAAGGAATGCACTCTATTTCTCTCCTCCCACTTCCCCACAACTTCAAAATTGTTCTCTCTCACCACTGCTAAGTCACTTGCATTTTTTCCAGGGACCAGCCAAAGAAAAAGAAAGAAAAAGTATTCATGACCTCCTGTTTCCTCACCTTGCTGTTTCTTCTGCTTCAGTTTAGCTGCACTGTCTCTTTGATTGATCCCTTTACCTCCACAGCTTGACTGCGTCATTGGTTTCTTCAAGTAAACCTCTGGACAGATTGTGTGTGCCTTCATAATCAATATGTGATAATTTAAGCTTGAACTTCTTGAAGCTCTTCCTCTTGCAGGGCTCAGTTACCAGCACCTGCTCTGGCACAGCCTCAGACCCAGAGGACCAGCTCTGTCCCATGTGAATTTCTCTTGGGACCA